TGGCACAGAATGACACAGAGTGGCACAGAATGCTACAGACTGACACACAATGATACACAATGACTTAGAATGGCACAGAATGATACAGAGTGGCACAGGATGATACAGATTGGCACAGAGTGGTGTAGAATAATACAGAATCAATGCAGAATGATTCAGGATGATATTTGATTCAAAATGATGAGGTGTACTCATCAATAAAGAATGGCACTATTTGACGAATCCATTCTTTTTCTCTGATAGGTGGTCTACATTGCTCCATTGAAGGCTCTTGTCAGAGAGAGAATTGATGACTGGAAGGTTCGACTTCAGCAGAAATTGGGCAAGAAGTAATATTCTATTGCACTTTAATGTTTTACTTCTCATCATGAAAAAAGGAGGAGTCTGTTTAAAGTGTAAAGTTTGGATGAAATTAATGTTCCAGTGATGTCAGACTAGAATTTGATCTTAATTTGTATTTGCAGGGAATTTGAAATCAAGTTTAAATTTGGTCTAACTGACAGAGCCTGTAAAATTAAAACTGTTGCTTCACAAAAATATTTGAAAGTCAGGTCATAAGTAGTATGTGTCACACCATGTTTTGGCTGCTAATCAGTCGTGCTAAATAAAATGGGTCTTTGCTTAACCCTAACCCTCCTGAATCCTTCACCTGTTGGAGGATTGAGGAGGGTTAGGGTTAACGGAGGGTTAGGAAAGTTGAAATGGCTGACGATCTGCACTTTTCCACATTACAGTGTCATTGAACTGACAGGAGACGTGATGCCAGACATCAAGGCCATCGGCGGTGCAGATGTAATCGTCACCACCCCGGAGAAATGGGATGGTGTCAGTCGGAGCTGGCAGACCAGAAAATATGTCAAGGCCGTGTCGTTATTGGTGATTGACGAGATCCACTTGTTGGGTAAGTTACTTTGTAGGGGGAGGTGCCTTTTATATCCTAGGACTGGCGACTCAAACCTGTAACACTGCTGGAATTTCTGCGTCATTTAGCAGCAAACCTTCATTTGTTGCAATACTGTCAGATTTACAGTCTTTCATTTCACTCGTCCACTGCCCACTTTGGCTCATTTCCCCAGGGGATGAGCGTGGTCCTGTCCTAGAGGTCATCGTCTCCAGGACCAACTTCATCTCGTCTCACACAGAGAAACCCCTACGAGTTATCGGCTTGTCCACAGCGCTTGCTAATGCTAGAGACCTGGCAGACTGGCTGGGAATCAAACAGGTTTGTAATTGTCCAATTCTGAGTAAGGCAGTTCTGTATACTGTATTTCAATATTTCATATATTTACTTGATTACTGAATGTTCAGTACTTTTTAGTTTTTTAACAATCAGAAATGAGTTGCAGTGGAATACAAAAGAAGGCAACACTTTTGATAATTGTCAGATATTTAAATATTTGAACTTCAGCCAGAGAATGTGATAAATTCGTCGTGGAAAGCAGCTATCATTTATAATTTTTCTTGTATTAAATCCACGTACAGTAGACTTGCTGTTTCAAAAAGTGATGAATAATTTTAATTATTTGAATAATTTCAATTGTTTTCCTCTATGATAAACAGAACGGCCTCTTCAACTTCCGTCCGTCAGTGCGTCCTGTGCCACTAGAGGTCCACATTCAGGGCTTTCCGGGGAAACATTACTGCCCACGGATGGCCACCATGAATAAGCCCACATTCCAAGGTGTGCTATACGAGACCACTCATTGGGGAGGGGGGGGTGTTGAGCAATATCGACATTGTCTTAGATTTGGCAAATCTAGGAGTATCAGTTCAGAGTGAGTCCTTTACTGTGATAAACTGCAGATGATGTGATTATTGTCAAGCTGTCTTGGTCAACCAGGTGTATGAGAAGAAAAGAAACATTGCTGCCTGTTATTTATCTTGACTTAAAGATTTTTGCTAAGCCTGTACAAAGTAATGCAGAAATAATGTTTAAGGTTTGGCCCACAAAAACTTAGCAGTCGGTTGTGTCGAGTCCAAAACTGTAGCAGTTATTTTTCATCTTCCTGTGCAGCAATACGAACCCACTCTCCTACCAAGCCTACTCTGATCTTCGTCTCTTCAAGACGACAGACCCGACTGACAGCTCTTGACCTGATCGCATTCCTTGCTGCAGAGGACAACCCCAAACAGTGGCTTCACATCGAAGAAGCGGAGGTGAAGCTCATTATTATTCATCATCTAATACATATTCACGTACCTTGTGCTCATGTCATTGGTCAGTTTTTTAAGTTTCAGGGAAATAAAAATAGCAAAAATCAGCTGTCCGCCTGTGACGAAATTTTGTGATTCTCACAAGTACAGAGGTTTCTTCTTTACATATGCAAGACGCGGTAAAGTGGAATGGTATTCAAGTTGCCGAATTAGCAGAAATCTTGCCAAGATTGTCCAGGTTCCACCTCACACTGTCGAGGTATCAGATAACCCGCCCAGAAATTGGATCAGCCCTTGAAAAATCAGGTTACCAGCCAAATAACAAACATTGTATCGTGCATTCAAGTGGTTCTCAACTGATTCAATTACACCGAATTTTGCCGAGCAGGATTTTCTGTTTAGTGGCGTCTCGTTTGTGTGATGCGTGACCTTATCACCCTCTTCCTTGCTGTTTAGATTGAGAACATCATCAGTGGCATCAAGGACACCAACCTCAAGTTGTGTCTAGCCTTCGGTATAGGTATGCACCACGCTGGCCTCCACGAGAGAGATCGTAGGACTGTGGAGGAGCTCTTTGTCAACCAGAAGATACAGGTATGGTGGTCTTTATATTTGCTCATTGATTTTGACAAGTTGTGTAAACCTGAGTCCTTTCTGCTTGTATTGTCGTCAAATTGACTTATCTTCCTAGCCCAAACCTCCTTTGTCTTGTGCAGGTTTTGATAGCCACCAGCACCCTGGCTTGGGGAGTCAACTTTCCCGCCCATCTTGTGGTGATCAAGGGGACAGAGTTCTTTGACGGCAAAACCAAGCGATACGTCGACTTCCCCATCACAGGTGTGTCTCCCTTTTGCCGTGGTCAAAGTTCATTCGAATCGCTCATGATGGGACTTGAGACTAAACAAGTTATGAGTGACTCTTGATGACTTACAATGAAACCAGATTCAACGCCGGGATTTACTAACAGTTCAGTTGTTCCCCAGATGTTCTGCAGATGATGGGCAGAGCTGGGCGACCCCAGTTTGACGACCAAGGCACGGCCGTCATCTTTGTCCAGGACATCAAGAAGCACTTCTACAAGAAGTTCCTGTACGAGCCATTCCCCGTCGAGTCCAAGTAGGTGGATTCACTGGTACCTGACTAATTGATGAACTCCCAGAGTTTGACAGTGGTTTTAAAAACGTTGCCACTCCGAGAATGAACTGCATTTCTGTGTTATAGCTTCATGATTTTCTTTATCAGGCACCTCAAATCATTTACTTCACAGCCACTCTTTTGAATCTGCTCATTTGCTTCCAAAATCAGATCCTTATAAGTGGCCAGGTGATATAAGATCTAGGCTTGATAAATGCTTAGATTAAACAAGTACACAATCAAGGATGTTCTTGGATTCACTCCTTGAGGTCATTTCTCTGTTTTAGTTTGCTAGACGTGCTGGCTGAGCATCTCAACGCAGAGATTGTCGCCGGTACCATCTCCTCCAAGCAAGACGCCATGGACTACATCACCTGGACATATTTCTTCCGAAGGCTTGTCATGAATCCCAGGTAGCGGTACCTTCCAGGATAGGACTTGCAGTTACTTAGGTATCAAGCCTTATCATGTGACTTGATCGTGAAGAGAAATGAACTCTTAGCCACAGACGAAGAGAGTTTTGGAAACCTGGACACAAAATGGTATCCTTATTTAATAGCACATGCAGCCTGTCTGTGCACTGCTGTAATGTGAAGCCATTTTGTGTCCGGATATGTTGCCGGCTATTTTTGGCTCTACTGGGTCAACTTGCTGTTTTAGAATACTCTGTTGGATCTCAGTTATTTTTGCCAGATGGCATAAAGATATACTAAAACATCTTTTTTTGAAGTTACTACAAGTTGGAGGAGACAGACCACACCAGCATCAACAAGTACCTCTCCTTCCTTGTGGAGAGATCTCTGCTGGAACTGGAGAACTGTTACTGCCTGGCTATCGGCGAGGTGAGCGGCCAGTAAACCCCGGCAGTGGTTTTCAGTATGATTAACTAACAAACATGATGTTGTGGTGCTGTGATCGGTTTCAAAGGAGCTGTATAAACAGAACTGTGGAAGCTTTTTTACAAACCTCTGACAGTTGTCGTGTACTTTCTAAAACTTTTTCACGCCTGTTCCGAAAATATGTGCAGATTTTCTCAACACAGCTCGGACAATCTTTGCAATGTCCCAGCATGTTTAAACAACAGGCCCTCCTCATCCATATTTTCAAAATGTCAGGGGAAATCTGTGTCGTTATTTTTGTCCTTCTTCCCAGGATAACCGTAGCATCGAGCCCCTGACCCTGGGTCGTATCTGCTCTTTCTACTACCTGCATCACCAGTCAGTCCGCATGTTCAGAGATACTCTTGGGCCTGACACCAGTTTGATTGACCTCATCACAATTCTCTCTGTGAGTTGTTCAAATAAAGGCGTTATCCTCTTGAATTCCAAGAATTGCTCCACGACAAACCTTCCCTTTGTCGCCTTCCTTCTCAATCCTTGTTTGAATCCTGTTTGTAAGTGTGACGTCACTTCAGTTTAAACCATGTCCACTGCACATGCACAGCACATAGAGTTATATGCATTGATCGCCGTTTACATGGAACCGGAAGTTAACGTGCAACTTCAGCAATCGTCCAATGGGAGCCTGCAAATTGTGTTGCGTCCGTGTGTATAATGAAGTCACTTACAAACCGGATAGAGTTGAACATATATTCTCATGCACATGCAACAAACACCATGTTTTGTCTTGTACCGTTTCTGACATGGTTTTATCAACTAAAGCCTATCTTTATTCAGGATTCCTTCAGGACATTTTCTGAGTCTCCAAGAAGAAGTTTAAAGTTTAGTGGAAATGTCATCGAAGAGACAATAACGCAACTGATTTTTTTTTAGGACGCCCATGAGTATGAGATGCTTCCTGTCAGACACAATGAAGACGGAATCAACAGGTCAGAGTCTACTGAATCTACTGATTCTATTCTCATTATTTTCAAAATACAAAATGTGAGATTTATCTTCCTTCTGCCATTCACTCTCCGTCGATAAATCCCACTTTTCCTTGTTTTTCTGCAGTGACCTGGCTAAGAAGCTCCCATTAGAGGTCAACCCTCACTCCTTCGACAGCCCTCACACCAAGACACACCTTCTGCTGCAGGCCCACTACGAGAGGCAACCCTTACCTTCCAGCGACTATGCCACGGATCTGAAATCAGTGCTGGACCAGTCCATACGAATCATGCAAGTACGTGCCAAGATGGCACTGGAGCTGTACGCAGTCAGTGAAAAATGGTAACACTGTGTGTGTTGGGTGTTACTGTTAACCCCTTAATTACTGGTAGATGGCGACAGCCGTGGCTTTGTGTGAGGATTAGTGCATACCACACATACAGTCTATTCACCATGCAGCTGCTGGTTCAATGTGGGCCTGCTGCTGGACAGAGCACATACTGGGCATACCGCAGCCCAGCAGTCGCGGTCAAAAGAATCCTGGCGTTGAGGTCGGGGTTAAGACTTGACTGTTAAAATTGAAATGTACCTGATTCACATACTTTTCTTGTTTATAGGTTTCATGTTTTGAATCTTTATGGATAAATAGTGATGTTTCACTGGACATTCCCGATAGCCCCCTTAATGGCGACTGGCAAAGCGACTGTCACAAAACAGTAGCTATGTACAATAGTGGTCACACTACTCACCACCATTGCTGGGGGCCACTGCAGATGACCAGTGATAGCATTATTGTGATTACGGGATTTGTGTGTGTCATTAGCAGCTGCGTCTGTGATTAGTAGTTCATTATCTTGAAGGGCATAGTTTCTGTTTAAAGTTCAATGGATTTCTTTGTTGTGTATGCAGGCAATGATTGATGTTTCAGCTGATCAGGGCTGGCTGGCCACAGCCCTGCGAATCATGAACCTGGTGCAGATGACGCTGCAAGGACGTTGGCTGCATGACAGCGCTTTACTAACCCTGCCGCACGTAGAGCACAACATCCTTCACTGTTTCAAGTAAGTGGAAAAGTTCGCTTGGGCCGGACGTCTTACACACTGTCTGCTTGTATGATTGCAGCAAGTGAGATGCACGAGTGTATATCTTTAAGTCTAGATATTGTCACACATAGACTCTTGATATTCACCGTGTCAATATGGCAGATTTGTGCACATTTAGTTGAAAACTGGTCATGCACACTGTGCACCATTGGCTCCCGTTAACTAATAAGTACAGGTGATGTGCCCTCCTTGGCCCCACCACAATGTTTATGATCCTTGCTCAGAATCCATTTTTACTCTGAAAGTTGATTTGTGGTTTCTTGTTGCCTTATTCGACAGACCTCCTTCCAAAGGGAAGAGATCTGCCCCAATCCAAAGCTTGCCAGAGCTCCTTGCAGTGTGTCGAGGAAATAGATCTATCCTGCAGAAGATGTTGACCCCAGAAGTCTCCGATGGACACCTTGAAGATGTGAGTCTGTTGTTGGAAAGTGGTCTGCAGTGTTAACTAAAAACGTACAAGAGTTTACAGGTAATGCTTGAATGGATGGAAGATGAAAACTGGCAAATTCAATCTGCGTTGGCCAGTCTTGTATTTAGTCAGCACCACTTACTTGACACTTAGGGCTTGTGACAAAATGACTGATACGTATTACTGAGTCATGCAACATCGTAAAATATTGCACTCCCAAATTTGCAGTGTCTTGAAAAGAATTGATAGCAAGCTGTACGGGTCTGATATGTTACTGCCTTTTCAGTCTGCTGGTCTGTCAGACCGTCTGTCCATAAGTCAGGCCACAGGTTTTTGTAGGGTTGTCTGTCCAAGAGTCAGGCCACGGGTTTGTTGGGCTATCTGCCTGCCTATCTTGCCTCTTCCTAAACACGCTGTATCACCCCCTCACAGATATGGAATGTTCTGCAGAGGCTGCCGGTGATTGAACCCAAGCTGAGCGTCCGTGGCTGGTGGGCCGACGGAGGAGAGGAGGAAGACAGGCTCCTACCAACCACGTACATCAGTAAGACCAGTCGGAACTGGGCCCTGGTTAAAACTTCCCGAGAAGACCTTGAACAAAATTCACCTAGGACTACCTCCCTTACTCCCAAAATTATAAATCAGATTTAACAAATGGGAAAGGAATTCAGAAGATTGTTCAAGAAAAAATATAGTGTTGCAAACATAATTCATTTTTATCCACGGTATAAATTTGTCAAACTTATTTATGCCATCAACCCCCGTAAGTCTTCTTTCCCTTCTTCCAGTCAGTCTCCAAACACTGCTTCTTTTCTGATCCTTTTTTACCTTGTCCATTTCTAAGCTGGCGTTCCAAAAGACAGCGACTACCTCCCTGTCCATGCCGACCAGGAATATGTGCTACAGGTTGACCTAAGGAGACTGTACAGACAACGTCAGGTAGGCTGGAGCAGAGGCTACACTGGTAGCTGGAGTGGAGTCTAAGCTATAACCTTTTTCAAGGTTTGGTAATTTGGTAGTTTATTAACCAGACTACACCCTTCCGGTACACAGTTTCTTTTTCTTCAAGGTTCTTTATCTTTTGTCTCCTTCACCTCAGCATGACACCAAGTGCCATGCCCCCCGCTTCCCCAAGTCCAAACACGAGGGTTGGTTCATCGTCCTGGGAGACCTTGAGAGCAAAGAGCTGCTGGCCTTGAAGCGGATCGGTTACGTCAGCTCACGCAATGTAGTACAGCTGGCTTTCTACACCCCAGAGACCGTAGGTAAGCTTTCAAGATGCAGGGCTCAGCTCTTGGACCATCTGTATGTTCAGCAAGAACAAAGAGCTACATAACTGACTTTCTCGCTTGCACACTCGGAAGTAGGTTATCAGGGGTCTCCTTTTGAAACCTTTTTTTTGGCTTTGTCACAGGTCGTGTTATCTATGCTTTGTATATCATGAGTGACTGCTACTTGGGCATGGATCAACAATACAGTGTGTGCCTCGATGTACAAGAGGCTGACATCACTGCACAGTTCAACACTGAGGTGATGCTGGAAGACGGGGAACTAGACGAACTGGTGGAGCACTACCAAGAATGAATTCAAAGCTCTGGCGACTGTTCTACTTACTACCAACCACATTTACACAGTAGTAGTAGAAGACAAGGTGCAAGACCAGTTGATGCTTGGCTGTGCAGATCCAGTCTGTTTAGGACCACCAAATAACTGCTGGGTACCAGTTGTCTCATGGTTACTGTCAAAATGGCAGCTGAATACATTAAAGTGACAACAGTGTAATAAAGAACATGGTACCAACCAATGCTACGAAATGCAAATATGAAATAGATGCCATCTTTTCCATTTTTTTTCTTTCTTGAATTAATTCAAGATTTTTTTTCTCTTTTTGGTTACTATTTGCTGCTTCCACCCGAACAAAAAATGCCAAAATGTGTTTATCTAAAGGCTTTCTTGTCTATGTACAGAAAGTTTACTTTCAAAAGTAGAGTTATTTTCAAATTGTTCGCATTCAAGGGTTATATTAGTTGAATACCTGTTGTTGAAAATAATAACGAGAAATTAGAGTTTTGAAAAATAAATGGATGAATCACTTTTGAGGGAGAAAAGGGGAATATTTGGCGAGTTAAGAAAAATATTTCAACCACAAAATGGGCTAAGTATACTTAGTTTTGGCAGTTTATTAGGGCTGTGCTGGATATCCGAATATTCGGTCAATAACCTAACATTCCAATATTATCTTCCGAATTTGAATATTTGAATGCAAAATTCACGAAAAGGGAGAATTTCTTTTGTTTTAAATGAGAAAAATTGCATCTTGGAGGCTTGTTTCAGGCAGATTCAACTGAAAAGCGACAGAAATCTTACAATGATTCAAAAAGTGAATTATTCATTGAAAAAAAATGAAAAGGAACAGAAATTTCCAACAGGGAAAGAAGTATTGTTCATCTTTAAATCTTGTTAGATCGAGGCAGAAGATACCCCTAGACTTGAGAAGCTATTATATTGATTATAATGTAAAATTGAGTGCATTTTTGCAACTGATTTAGTATATGGTTTGTTTATCAAGAATCTGTCAGTTGGTATGACCGAATATTCAGATGTTCCATTGAATTGAAGGTCGAACGTTCGTATTGTAAATTATTCGAATTGACTCAGTCCTACAGTTTTTTAGATGTCAAAAGTTTTTTTCCTTGTTCATCTGCAGAACATCATATGGTGAAATGAGATCGGATATAAATCTCTGAATTCCTAGAGAACTGATAATGATGGGAACAGTACGCAAATAAATATCAACTTAATAATGTTGAAATAATCACTTGTAAGTTGTCAGACAAATGTTTATTGAAGACTAAATAATAATGTAAACATTTGCATTTCTATGCTGTGCCCGTTTGCTTTCTGCAGCTGAAGAATTAAAGGTTAATTTAAAACTTTTTTATACGAACAAAATTAGAGAAAAATGCACATAACTTACTGTTCAACAAAACCAGGTCCTTTCAAACTTCACTTTATGGAATATTTCTACACACCTACTATTGTTTGTCAATTTGTTGGTATCACTGCTAGTACAGTTCATTTTTTCACAACCTGAAATGCCCTGAATTTTACACGTGTCTGCCGACGGCAGCTTTTTTTGTTTTGTTTTGTTTTTTCTTTTCCACATCGCCGTCATGGTGCTGCATTATTTCTAAACGTCTGTGTCATTGCTGCTGTGTTTGCTGCAGGTAAAGTCTTGCTTTGGAGTCTCACAATTTTAGTGGAGGAACCATGGCAGTTTTTAAAACTTGTGCCACATTGTCAATGTATCTTTGCTGTTGACGTTGTCAACATCTGTTGCTGTGTTCACCAGCACCCAGTCGTTCAGGATGCCGTTCAACTACAGCAGTTTCTGCGGCCGCTGCTGTTGCTGCATGACCATTGGCATTGTTGCTCGCTGCAGCACTGGCGAGACCAAAGAGCTGTCCTTAACAGCATTTCAGCGCTTTTTTTTTCCTCTTGCAGCAGATAGCCATCCAACAAAACTGCAGCAGTCTCTCAGAGTCACTGCTGCTGACTACCCGCTCCTCTCTTCCACAGCGGAGGGGGGGGTGGTTTCTCCGGCCCTCAGTACCTGTGCTGATGCTGCTGGTGCTGTTGGCTGTATGACCCGCTGTTACTCTGTACAGTGTTGGACGTGTACATCATCCCCTGCTGTTGTTTGGAGGTTGCCGTGCCACTGGTCTGCGTGGTTCCGCTTTGCTGATAGCCCGGCATCATGTGCTTCTGTTGGGGGGGGGGCGTGTAAAGAGAAAATGGACTGAAGCAGTATTCCACCTTCTGATCCATGGAGTATTCACCTTCTGATCCATGGAGTATTGCCCTGGTGTTCTATCTGCTGAAATAACCTTGTTGATCATCTACTCATTTGTCCACATTTTTTCAATTTATCTGTGAATATTTTTGCCTTTTTCAAGAATTGTAGCCCTGAAACCCTAGACTATCGATCGAATCATTTTACATTTAATAATATCTTGACAGTTTTTCTTGCTAGTAGAGATGAAAAGTGTCCATATTATGTGTGCAATTTATCAGTACTATAATAACTTTCTGCAAGTCTTTATGGCTCATCTTTTGATGCTTTGATATGTGTGTTAAGTTTTGAAGTTTCTTAACAGACACCAAAAAACACTACAATACAAAAATGGAACCAAAACACAAAACATAGGACAGGTGCAGGGACAGACAATTCAGATACGATTTCAAGTTTTCACATTCAACAATTTTTTTTCACAAAAACACCTGGTTCCCCTGCTGCTCACCTTTACCTGTTGTGCCTGGTAGTCATTCTGCATCATCCCACCGCCTGGTGCCCCACCTTGGCTGGACGCCGAGGCTGCCACCCGCATCCGTTTGGCCCCCTGGGCGTGGCTTGACGAACCACCCGTCTGGAAAAAGAGGGGAAAAAAGGTAAAATTCATTAGGTGTTTCATCCAACCGTTTGTGCAAACTCTGAACACAAGTGCTTTAGATAAGTTCTACTTAACTGGTCAACACCATCCATAAATCAGTAAAGAAACTAACTAGTTGAGAACTGGTTAATGTTTGACACTAGTTAAGATTAGTTTTCACTGGTGAATGTGCAAGTAAACACTTGTTGATTCTTGTACACATTGGTCAAAGCTGGTTAACAAAGGCCAGCATTGGATCAAATCAGTTGAATGTAGTTGATAACAATTAAACCAGATTGTTGTAGACCAATATTGGTCAAAATTCTTCCAAAAATGTAAAAACAGGTTTAACTGACACTAGATGGTTTTAACAAATTACAACACAGATTTTTGTTTCCAAATTTTCTATAAATACAACTTCCTTAAAAAAACATTTTTGCCCATATTTGTATTGCCAATTCTTTTCTTGGCTGTAAAGCTAGTCAAATACTGAATTTGGCATGAAATGATGGCTTTTTTGTCTGCATAATGTGTGTTTTTTTCTGTCCAGGAATTCTACTTAGGGTTAGAAAGCGAAACAATGCCACCTACACTGCGTGCCTGACTAGCTGCCTGCTGGGCTAGGCGCATGCGATGATGCGTCTGCAAATGACTAGATGATCCAGCCTGGGTTGTCATGACGACGGATGGCAGCGATACATACAGCCGCACACCAGCCCACACACATGCACAGCATGCAGCCAGCAAATGACAACGTGCACGGCACAGCGAGGGAAGGAAGGAGTCCAATTGGACAGGCAAGGTCAAGCAGAGTGTGTTCCAATTTCCACATGATTTGGAAGAGGGGAGCGGGCACACCAAGCACAGGGATGCAAACACAGAAGCAACAAAAACCGAAGAGGAAGCAGCGGGGGGAGAGGAAATAAAAGCAAAATAAAACAAAATGTAAGCATGCTTTGAAAAGGAACGGTACCACGCTTTCTGGGTAACATTTGACCACGCCACCACTGTCTACAGACTGGTGAGGAGTCTAGCTTTTCCCTACCAACGACCTTGGCTTCAACCCAGCAACAGGCCAATGGTTGCCCATCTTTGCAAGAGGACACATTACCAGACCAGTCACCACAAGAATATCATCTTCAATACCTCAAGTCAAACCAGTTATGCAATACCATGGTTGATTGGATGTTTCATTCTGAAATACTCTCACGTTTGATTGGTCAATATCTGGTATTTTAATGCGTCAATTTTGCATGAACTATTTGCAGCCTGTGGTTGAAATCACATGACAATCACGTCTCCAAAGTAAGTGCCACTAAGTTGAACATGCAACTATAAAAGCATGTCTTCCATCACATGATTCCGTGAAATCTTGTGCTAGACAATGGGGAACGACTAGTATTCTCCTTGTAGCAAAACCATCAAATTGTAATCAAGATTTTATCAAGTTTTGGCAATGAAAGCAACAAAGCTTGTTTGGTTTACACATGAATATTACGCTCTTACCAACCAGTTTGGTTGTGGCTTTTTTGGGGGAGTCCAGCAATTATTTACAGCTAATAATAGTTTGGGTTTTGTTTGTTTTTTTTTCAAGTAAGTGGCCGCCATTTCTGCTTTGCACACCTAGTGTATCCAACAAAATCAACCCACCTTACTGGTGTCCGATTTGTCTTCGTTTTCTTCATCTGTTAAGAATTCCCGCTTGGGGTAGGGAATAGGTTTGCCGTCAAACACGCTATTGAGCAAAATGATCAGTAAACAGAATCCTTTAAAACCGTGCAGAAGTTGAGGATTGTTTACTACAAGATATTTCAAGAACAGGACCCTTTTTTGTTCAAATGGGAAAAATTGTCCTTCCGGTCACATGATACTCCTATAATTATGCAATCAAGTTATTTCCATGCCAACGTATGCTCTAGGAGCACACAGGGAAAAGACGATCATGTCAACATCCTTCAGTAAACCCAAGTTGTGGGATTTTTTACTCACTCTGCTGTTGGTAAAGGCTCTTCAGTGAAGTAGGGATCCTCCATCGACTGCTTGGCCGTCATGCGTTTGGTTGGATCCATCGTTAATAGTTTAGATAGCTTGATAGAAAGCGTGAACAGTACATTATCTGTAAGCCAATCATGGCTACTTGAGAAATTGTACCACGATTAATCAATGGAGAATTCATTGAAATTTACAATTCTTGTAACATCCCTGTAGATCCTAATTGGGCCAACCAGCACCACTGGCATGCCTAGAAACTGATCTGGTAGCTATCTGGCGGTAGCGCTACACTCACACATGCACTCTGCAGCTTGACGAACAAGTGCATTTAGTAAATCACGCCACCCTATTGGTCGAAGAGGCATGTAATATGCGCTGACCACCTGTCCATAATCGTTGTGGCACCGCAGTAATGGAATTACACCATACATGCATTGTGAGAAATGTAGATCCCCTCTGCACTGCAGCTAGTTGCTATCAATAATTTCAACTGTCTAAGTTATTTAACTCAGAAGGTTTGACATTTTTATCCTTGTACAATATTACTCAGTCTTAACACAGCAACATACCGGCAACTTCTGATACTGTATGGAGGATGTGGCCATAAATCATTGCTGTGCAAAAAAGATTCCTTCCAACTACTGAATCTTCTCTCATAACAAATAATTTTAAGCAAGAGGTACTGCTTCTTTTGTCCGCCGCACTGAATTTCTATTTCTTCTTTGTTTTTCAAAGACTTACCAACTGGAAAGCTCTACAGTCCGGTTTGATTTTGTGTTTCTCCATGTACTTGACAAGACAGCAGTTTGTATAACTTCAATGAAAAATAGAGGCAGTGAAAAATTACAATTAAAAAATATGGTATAAAAACAGTAAACACATCATTGACAAAATCAAAATTAGATTTGACTATTGGGAGAAAAAATTGACATGAATGCTTTAA